GTTCAATTCTCCTACCTCACAATGCTCATCGAGAGTCAGAACACTCTTCGATTCCTGTGATCCGTCTGCCCTCGACCTGGGTTTACCAGCATTCGCTGTGCTCTCACCATTCTCTTCTCAATCAACTGCTTCGCTTTGAAACTAAAAAGTACCCTGACATCGCTTTTACCACTAAGCCTAACATGCATACCTCAATGTTTTCGCCAAGTAATATCGAAACGCGATTGCCCTCCTATCTTATGTCTGCCTTTCCGAGTATACAGGGACTCCAGCAAAACCCATCGGATTCTGATCTCATTGGTCAGATATCTGATGATCACTGCTCAGCCACTTGTAGCAACAGCAAGGAATTCGTAAGAAAGGAGGCAAACTTTCTTGCATCTCTTCAGCAGAACTGCGATTCAGATCAACACTTTGCGGCCGGAATCTGCGAAGCAGATGCGTGTCAATATTTGGGAGGTAAAGATGACTTAAAATTTGATACAGCCGGACGGCGCATGGAAATTCCTGATAAAACGGAGTTAATAAGCCCTAAGGCCTGCAATAAAATTAAAGTGTCTGCAGCTCCGACTGTTCTTGCACTACCTGCTTCCTTACGGCCCAAAATTTTGACTCGCTCAACATCTGGATCTCTATCACATTCTTCTTCCTCCACTGACTTCTCGTCAACCTCCTACCAACGCAGCCTATACAGTAGTGATGAGGACTTTTTTGGTGGAGAGGTATGCCTTTATTATTTAATGATTCCTCTTGATGGCTCATTTTTCATTATATGAATTTTCTCATTTCATTTTCCTCAAATAGGCTTTATTTATTTAAAAAATTCTGAAACATTTTTCTCATTTTTTGCCAATTGTAACCTGTAAAATATGCGATTTATTTTCCCATAATTAAAGATGTTACCTTAATCCATTCGTCTTTTTTCTGCCTGATCTCCAAGTTTGCTTAGGCAATATGTATAGTTTTCGCTATTGCTGCATGCCTCAAGTCTCATGTTCACTCGATTTATTTTAATCAGGATTTCAAGGGTCTCTTTGATTTTGTGCTTTCTCTTATTTTCATAATATGCAGCCGGTCTTACTGTCGATTTCGTGTCCCGTCCGTACAATGTGTTCCGCTATTTCGGCACAAAATGCACATTTTTGGAGTTGAAGAAAGTGAACAACAGAATCTTGAACAACGTGGAGAACATTTACGAATTTTCACAAAGAATCCAGAACATTAGACTGGCAGGGACGAAACTATTGGTAATTTTTTCGTATAATCCATGTACGCTATTTACTCGGGAAGGCAATCACCGCCCTGCTGGATATCATGGAACGAGAACGGAATATCGTTGGGGCAGAGCGATTGTGTAATAAGTCTTTAACACGACTGAGCAATCCGACAATAAGGACCATCACATTTAATGACAATATC